ACTATCATAAGGAAGATTAACTCCGAGCTGAGTCAAGTGGTTATGGTAGCCACACATTCTGAGTATGTGTTCACTGACAAAACTATTCTCCTCCATTTTGCAGCTGTAGAACTTGTTGGAGACTTCATATCTCTCAACTCGGGCATTTGCTTGAAATATTAACTTCACTCTTGGAAAATCTAATATGCTCCATGACGTTCAAAACGTCTTTGAAGTCCCGATTCTAAGCCATAAAGCATGGCACACTGAACTATCAAGTAGTCATCAGCTTTGCTCTGCCAGACGTTCTTAACGTCATCAGTAGCATCTACAGTAGGCCTGGCACCCAGCGATGCTTACAGGACGTAATTCTTCTATGCAGCAATGAGGATAATCCTCAAGTTACGGACCCAGTCCGTGTAGTTTCTTCCATCATCTTTCAACTTAGCTTTCTCTAGGAATGCATTAAAATTCAAAGTAACGGTAGCACGGGCCATTGATCTACAATAACATAGAGATGCAAAATAACTATCAGGACTAAGTTCATGATAAATTACAGTTCAATTAATCATATTACTTAAGAACTCCCACTTAGATAGACATTCCTCTAGTCATCTAAGTGATCACGTGATCCAAATCAACTAAACCATGTCCGATCATCACGTGAGATGAAGTAGTTTTCAATGGTGAACATCACTGTGTTTATCATATCTACTATATAATTCACGTTCGACCTTTCGGTCTCAGTGTTCTGAGGCCATATCTGCATATGCTAGGCTCGTCAAGTTTAACCTAAGTATTCTGAGTGTGCAAAACTAGCTTGCACCCATTGTATGTGAACGTAGAGCTTATCGCACCCGATCATCACGTGGTGTCTCGGCATGACGAACTGTAGCAACGGTGCATACTCGGGGAGAACACTTGTACCTTGAATTTTAGTAAGGGGTCATCTTATGATGCTACCGTCGTACTAAGCAAAATAAGATGCATAAAAGATAAACATCACATGCAATCAAAATATGTGACATGATATGGCCATCATCATCTTGTGCTCATGATCTCCATCACCAAAGCATCGTCATGATCTCCATCGTCACTGGTGCGACACCTTGATCTGCATCGTAGCATCGTTGTCGTCTCGCCAACTATTGTTACTACGACTATCGCTACTGCTTAGTGATAAAGTAAAACAATTACATGGTGATTGCATTGCATACAATAAAGCAACAACCATATGGTTGCTGTCAGTTGCCGTAACTTTGTTACAAAACATGATCATCTCATACAAAAATTTATATCACATCATGCCTTGACCATATCACATCACAGCAAGCCCTGCAAAAACAAGTTAGACATCCTCTACTTCGTTGTTGCAAGTTTTACATGGCTGCTACGGGCTTCTAGCAAGAACCATTCTTACCTACGCATGAAAACCACAATGATTTTTCATCAAGTGTGCCGTTTTAACCTTCAACAAGGATCGACCGTAGTCAAACTCGTTTCAACTAAAGTTGGAGAAACAGACACCCGCCAACCACCTTTGTGCAAAAGCACGTTGGTAGAACCAGTTTCATGAACGTGGTCATGTAATGTCGGTCTGGGCCGCTTCATCCAACAATACCGCCGAATCAACGTAAGGCATTGGTGGTAAGCAGTATGACTATTATCGCCCACAACTCTTTGTGTTCTACTCGTGCATATAACATCTACGCATAGACCTGGCTCTGATGCCACTGTTGGGGAACGCAGTAATTTCAAAAAAAAATCCTACGATCACCGAAGATCTATCTATGTGATGCATACCAACAAGAGGGAAGAGTGTGTCCATGTACCCTTGTAGACCGAAAGCGGAAGCGTTGAGTAACGCGGTTGATGTAGTCGAACGTCTTCGCGATTCAACCGATCAAATACCGAATGCACGACACCTCCGTGATCTGCACACGTCTAGCTCGGTGACGTCCCTCGAACTCTAGATACAGTTGAGGCCGAGGGAGAGTTCCGTTAGCACGATGGCGTGGTGACGGTGATGATGAAGTTACCGGCGCAGGGCTTCGCCTAAGCACTATGACGATATGACTGAGGTGGAAAACTGCGGAGGGGGGCACCGCACACGGCTAAAGATCAAATTGTGTGTCTATGGGGTGCCCCCCTCCCCCGTATATAAAGGAGGAGAGGGGGGGCGGCCGGCCACAAGGGGCACGCCCAAGGGGGGAAGTCCTACTCCAAGTAGGAGTAGGTTCCCCCCTTTCCTAGTCCAACTAGGAGAAGAAGGAAGGAGAGGAAGAGGGAGAGGGAAAGAGGGGCCGCGCCCCATCCCCTTGTCCTATTAGGAGTCCCCTTGGGGGGGCGCCACCTCCTGGTGCGGCCTTCTCTCTTCCCTATAGGCCCACTAAGGCGCATTACTTCCCGGGGGGGGGGGGAGTTCCGGTAACCCTCCGGCACTCCAGTTTTATCCGAAACTATCCGGAACACTTCCGGTGTCCGAACAACATGGTCCAATATATCAATCTTTATGTCTCAACCATTTCGAGACTCCTCGTCATGTCCGTGATCTCATCTGGGACTCCGAACAACCTTCGGTACATCAAATCACATAAACTCATAATACCAATTATCATCGGATGTTAAGCGTGCGGATCATACGGGTTCGAGAACTATGTATACATGACCGAGACTTATCTCCGGTCAATAACCAATAGCGGAACCTGGATGCTCATATTGGTTCCTACATATTCTACGAAGATCTTTATCGGTCAAACCGCATAACAATATACGTTGTTCCCTTTGTCATCGGTGTGTTACTTCCCTGAGATTCGATCGTCGGTATCATCATACCTAGTTCAATCTCGTTACTGGAAAGTTTCTTTACTCGTTCCGTAATACTTCATCCCGTAACTAACTCATTAGTAACAATGCTTGCAAGGCTTATAGTGATGAGTATTACCGAGAGGGCCCAGAGATACCTCTTCGAAACACGGAGTGACAAATCATAATCTCGATCTATGGCAACCCAACAAACACCTTCGGAGACGACTGTAGAGCACATTTATAATCACACTTTTACGTTGTGACGTTTGGTAGCACATAAAGTGTTTCTTCGGTATTCGGGAGTTGCATAATCTCATAGTCTGAGGAACTTGTATAAGTCATGAAGAAAGCAGTAGCAATGAAACCGTAATGATCACAATGCTAAGCTAACGGATGATTACAATGATGTGATCCCGTTCATCAAATGACAACACATGTCTATGGTTAGAAAACATAACCATCTTTGATCAACGAGCTAGACAAGTAGAGGCATACTAGGGACTATATGTTTTGTCTGTGTATTCACACATGTACTAAGTTTTCGGTTAATACAATTCTAGCATGAATAATAAACATTTATCATTAAATAAGAAAATAAATAATAACTTTATTATTGCCTTTAGGGCATATTTCTTCAGAAGCCCCCTTGATGTCGAGGCTCTTCCGATCCGCCTGGATTCAAGAAGCCCATTGACCTCGCCTGCTGACATGACCCTTACTTTATCGGTTTTTCTTCACATTTCTTGTTCTCTTTTTTGCTTTCTTTCTATTGTTTATATTTATAAATATTCTAAATACATATTTAAAGAAATATTCAAACAATATTTTTATTATTTTAATAGAAATATTCTAAAAATGTTCAACGCATTCAAAAAATGCTTCGTACATTCAAAAACTGAAGAAATGCTTCGTATAAACAATGTTCACGAGTTTTCAAAAAAAATTGTGGCATTGTCAGAAACATTGTACAATGTAAAAAGAATCGCGTGCTGTAAAAAACGTTCAGTACCATTAAACAAATGTATGTGACATTTTAAAGAAAAATGCCTCGATTAAAAAAAAGGTGCGTGAAAATTTTAAAATGTGTATACAATTTAAAAAAAATGTTCCCATAGGTACACAAATGTTTATTCCTATGAAAAATGTACAACGCGTATTTGGAAAAAGTATTGCTGTGGAATCAAAAAGTGTTCAAAACACGTATTTTCAAGAAATGTGCATCGTGTATTTTTAAAATATTCAAAGTGTATCATAAAATGTTTCACATGTGCTTTAAAAATGTGCAATGTGTACTAAAAAAGAAGACATGTGTGAAAAAACCAATAAAAACTGACAAAGACACAAAAAGAAAAGCAGAAAAAAAGAGAAAATGAAGAAGAAACAAAAGAAACCAAAGTATAACAAAAGAAAGAAAAAAAACCAAACATACCAATGAGAAAACAAATAAAACAAAAGAAAAATGAAGAAAAAAGGACAAGCAAAGAAATCAGTGAGAAAACAAATAAAATGAAAGAAACGAAGAAAAAAGTAAACCGGACCTACATGTACCTACAACACACAGCAAAAGAAACCTCACTACTGGGTTAGCTCGCTAGACATCGCCCATAGGAGACATATAACCTGGCGGGATTATTTGCCTATTTGCTCGCATCAGGTCACATGGTACTACTCTCGTCATGGTTTATTGGTCTTCTATGTAATTTGTGCAAAATTTTGATTAAATATTTAACTAACAAAATATGAATGCATGTCAACAAAAAATATATCGTTAGGTTCGTATTTGAACATAGTTTTCATTGATATAATTTTTGATGACATGCATGAACATCGTTGCATAAAAAATAATGAGGATTAATAAACCAGGACGAAGGTAGTAGCTCACATTAAAGAAGTGTCACGGTGGAGTGGACTGGAAAAAGATGCGAAATGAACATCGTTTTAAATGATTTTCATTAAAGAGTACTTTGTTCAACAATCGTAGTTTCATTACACTTAATTTCAGATTTATACAAATATACCGTCAACATCATTATACACATTCGATCATTTCAGATTGATGACTAGCAAAACCAAAACTCATACGGGCCAGCTAAATACAAACGACGTAGTCACAGCATCACACACCCAAGCTAAGAACTGCCGCAAACCCCCTTCTCTCGTAAATAAAATCACAAACCCCGTATTACCACGAGGAGCAAAAAAGTTCGTCCCCATCACTGCTTGCTCCGCCGCCGCAGGTTGTACCTCCGGCTACCCGACGTGGTGATGGAGTTCTCGGCGACCTCTTCCGGCAAGGCGTTGTACCTTCGGCGAGTTTGCTCCGGCAAGGCGTAGTTAGGGTCGACTGTGCTGTCCGCCTCATCCGTCAGCTCGTCGAAGACCCACGAGTAATTCCTCAGGCTCTCGTCGCTCTCCGAGCCGTACGAGAGCATCCTGTCGCCTGCATTCTCCTCCAGTGTCCGGACCTTCTCCACCAGCGTCTGGAGCAGCCGGTGGTTCAGAACTTCGTAGTCCCTGAGATATAATGTTTCATTAAGTTAATTATAAGTTCTACCATCTTTTTGTAAGTGTGCAACCTGGGAGTTATGGGTTAATTTCTTACTCACCTGAATGTGAATATGGAATGCAATATCTGAATAGTGGCGGCAGCCAGGAACAACAATCTGACCAAGAACACCTTGGACAGGACCCAGAACAGGTTGTCGAAGTTGCCGGCTGCGAACTTGATCAGGCCCATCTCTAGCAGGAGCGTGATGCACAAACCTGCCGAAACAGACGTTAGAAAATCAGACAAGTTGCAGTCACATAGATGCACTGGGTTGCACCAAAAAGTAGTACAGGTCTGAAGAAAACTGAAGAAAAATGACCTTACCGAAGTAGAGTTGGCCTCTGATGCTGAACGTCTGCTTGGCGCTGGTGAGCATGTAGATGAGGAAGACGATGCAGCAGTAGAAGAAGAAGGCCTTGATGAAGCGGGACTCTGCTAGAATGGCGTTGTGGAGGATGTAGAGCTTGTCCAGCGCCGCGAAGATGTTAGCCTGCTTCGCTCTGAACTCCTCCTGCAGCCCCAAACAAGTTCAGTTAGCAAACAAGTGCGAGTTAGAAGCAGGCTTGAAGCCTTTTGTGTCACGTACTCACTTTATGAAACTAATATTATTTGAGAAATAGTAATAGCCAAGTACCTGAGCTGCCAGTATGGAGTGTGAATTCAGAATGAGATGATCATGAGCCTGCCGGATCTGCTCCTGCTTGGACAGCAACTCTTCCTGCTGACGCTGCCCAAACAGTGCAAGTTTCTCCAATGTTTCCCTGCAATTTCAGATAAAAATCAGCATCTCTTTGAGTCCACAGTCCACACACACATTACAAGAAAGTTGGAAAAATTCAGTTATGTTTGATGCGATGAAATGCATTACCTGCTTTCCTCGAGAGCCTGTGACTGAAAGGTGTGGAGGCTAGTCAATCCATCCATGGCCTTGTTCTGCCCATCCAACAGCTGCATCTGATTCTCGAGTGATTTGCCCGCCACACTCCCAATCTCATCCGCGGTGCCCTGCAGAACCAGCATCTTGGAAGACATCAGGTCGCCGACAGTTCCAATCTCTTTCTGAATGCCCACGGCCTCCTCGGTGAGCTTCCCCATCCCGTCCCCCAGCTGATCGTACGACTCCTGGATGCGCTCCATGCCGGCCTCGATCTTCTTCCTCATCTCGGCCTGCCCTTCCTTGAGCTCCGCCTGAGAGGCGGCGATCTCCTTGGACTGATCGGAGATGGTCCTGGAGTGCGCCAGCACGTCGTCGATCTGCGCGCCCACGCCCTTGGACGTCTCCGCGAGGCGGTCCGCCTGCGCCTCGATGGACGACAGCGCGTCCTGCACCTTCCCGGACTCCTTGATGATCTCCTCCGACCGCGCCTCAATCACCTCCAGGTTCTCCTCCGCCGACTTGGAGGACCGCGTCAGGTCGTTCACCAGCCGCTCCGTGCTGTGCTTGAAGGCCTCCGCCTGCAGCTGGTGGCACAGCGTGTTGGTCTCCAGGAAGAACTCGAGGAACACCTTGCTCTCGGAGTCGCCGAGCTTCTTGCGGCAGTGCACCATCTTGGAGCCGCCGGCGCAGGACGGGAAGGCCGGGCGGCCCGAGTCCTCCTGGTAGCAGCTGCTGAGGTGCCACGCCAGGCGGGCCTGCCGCTCCTTGTCGGCCATGATCTCGCCGCAGCTGGCGAAGAGGTTCCGGTACGCCTCCTGCCAGCAGTTCTTGGGGCCCGCCAGCTTGTTCCGCGCGTTCTCCAGCAGCTTCACCCCTCGCGGGTTGTTGGTGACGTCCATGGAGAAGTCGGCCACCGCGCCGTCGAGCTCCATCACCGGCGCCCTGTTACCGGACGCCGAGGACGACGGAGACGAGAAAATGTTCCATGAGAGCCCGCTGCCCCGCAGAGGGCACAGCCACAAGCAGGCCAAAATCAACAAGACGAACGATGCATTCTTCCTCATGGCGCTGGCCGATCAATTAGGCACCGGCAAAAAAGAGTGACCCTGGTGGAGAGTTGAACCAGAGGTCAATTGCAGTGCAAATCTTCCCTGCCAAGGACAAGGATGGTCAAGAAAGCAAGAATTAAAACGTATTCACTGGATGCAGATTGTTACCATGCTCGAATCATAATTCATAGTATTAAACTCTGAAATTCTTGATTAATTACCAAATTAAAGAGGCAAGATCAAGATTCCAAGTTCTTGATGCCAATTACTCGATCAGGTACAGTAAAACCCAACCACTATAAAAATCCAATTCAGTCAGTTCCAGCCTAATGCAAGAAAGGGGATGCATGTATCAAAACGATCCTCGAGAGAGAAACACAAGAGCGCAACGGGTTGGTGCCCTGCCGTGTGAAAGGGGCGCCGGATAAATATAGTGCCCCGCGTTTCTTCGCCGGCAAGGCAGAGGTCAGATCCGATCGGAGATTCACAAGGAAAAAAAAAATAGTAAGTCGGTTTGGGACTTTTGACACCACGCATGACAGGGACCCGGACAGCGCACACTCGCATTACTCATGCACTGAACTGGACATGATTTCACGGGAGCAATGGCGGTTTCGTCGTGTTCTTTTGGAATTTCCTGTGGTTAATTAACCCTGAGCACTACTGGGATGTTGATGGGAATGCAAATATAAAAGAGAGTTCAGAGATCTGTTGCCATGCTAATGTTCCGTTCCCGGCAAGGAAGCTCTGTTAATTACAGTAACCACCAATTGGATCCCAACTAACTAGTGTTAAGGGCATCTCCACTAGGCCCCAAGAGGCCCTTTTTTCTAACTTTGGGAGCGCCGGCAGCGAAAAAAGCCTTCACTCACGTCCCCAGGATCGCTTTTTTCGCCGGTATCGTGCAATTTCAGCGCCGGCACTATCACCCGAAACCCAGCCCCCAGGGAGGCATCTGAGAGCGCCGGCGGTTTGTTTATGCATGCAAAGGCCCACCTGCAGCCACATCTTTCCCCTCCCCCGTCGCTTTCAGCCCGGCCCCCACCTTCTCTCTCCCCATCCGCTTCTCTCTCCCTGCTCCGCCCGCGGCCCCGGTGCCTCCCCGCAGCGTCGCCGCCCGCGGCCGGTGCCTCCCCTGTGCGTGGCCGGAGCGGAGCTCGCGCGGCGGCCGGAGGTCAAGAAGCAGCAGCGGCAGGCCTGGCCAGCGATGAGGCGGGGCGAGCACGGCGGGGCGGGGCGCGCGTGGCCGCCAGGGGCGCGGCGGCCAGGGTGGGGCGGAGTTCGCGCGGCAGGTCCGGCTTGGAGCCATGCACCTGGTGCCATGCATGCGCCCCGGCCGGGGAGCAGCAGCTGGCATTCCAAGAGACCCAGCCCGGCGGCCACGTGCGCGAGGCGCGCGCCGGTGTCCTGCAGCTCCTGCCTCGACGAGCCGACGCCGGTGATCCGCACGTGCGCCGGCGGCTATGGTGTCCGCGTCGCCAGGCTCTGCAGGAGGCTCGGCCACTGGAGGCCTTGCTTGATGTCGAAGTCGATGATGTGGATGCGGTCGTGGCCGTCGAAAGCGCGGAGGAGCACCCGCTCCGCCCCGGACAGGAAGGCGCCCGCCGTCACCGGCTCCAGGAAGAGCAAGCTCCGGCGAGGCCAGGCGCGGGCGCGGACCCGGGCGCGGACCCGGGCGCGAGCTGCCAGGCGCGGGCGCGAGAGCGCAGCAGGCGCGGCCTCAGATGGGGCATTGCAAAGCAGCGAGCGCCTCCACCGCGTCTTCCGCCAGGAGCTCGACGTGCTCATGTCCGTGCGGTCTTCCGCCAGGCCTTCGTCGACGCTCGCGCTCCTCCGCTGGCTGGAGGTCATCGATGCCGCCGCGGTCAAGGTGCTCGATGAAATTCCGCTCCGTTTGTGGGAGTCCAACGCTGATCGTGGGGAGGCAATGAGTGGAAGTGGTTTGGCCGGCCTAAGTTCTCGCGGGCAGGCCCCCAGGAGGCGAAAAAAATGCCTCCTGGGAGAGCAAACGGCTGGAGATGCCCTGAGTCGGCGCCATTGTAGGTCGGTGGCACTGTCTTACGCCACACGATTCAGATAAAGCAGCCCGGCCGGGCCAGCCATGTCAGAGCGGAGCAATCCCCTTTCTCCTACGCGGGACGTATGCGGCATTGCGTTGAGTACTGAGCACCGACTGACATGAACGCTGGATTTGTTCCAACACTATCCTATAGAAAATGAAGCTTTTGTATGCATGAAACACCACGATCCAACTAGTTCATCTAAACAAAACACCACGGTCTATGGCTGGGTCATGAATCACATCGCATCCACACCCATGCACCGGTGAAGAAGCAGAGCAAATTAGAAAGAAACTCAGTCGCAAAACCAAAATTGGGAAGAAACCAGGCGCCATTTCACTCGGAGAAGAGAAGAACAGACAGCCGGCGAGGAGAATGATGTGCGGGAACTCACCGGCGGTGGCGAATCAGACCGTTGGCTTGAGTGGGGGAGGAGCGGCCTGACGACAGCAGGAGATGATCGAGACAGGGACGGGCGGGGCCGCAGCGGGTGAGTGGCGCGTATATATAGTGGGGGGAAGCCGGCTGTGGTTTGGACGTTTGGTAGAAGCAGAAAGAAACTGGCGGGGCCGCCGCGGTGAAAACGTCGCGTTAGTTCGCGCGAGAGAGCGCCTCCTCCTCCTCGCGTAGGAAAGAAATGGGAACAGTGGTCGAGAGACGAAGAGCCGCAAAACCACTCGTTACGCCCGTTCAGTGGAGAGACGCGACCCCAACACGGACGGGTTCGGTAATGCTACTGCCGTCCAAATTTGACACCTGTCATTTCCGTGAGATGCAGAAGTTGTGATTAGAGCAACCCCAATAGCTCCCACCGCCCTTTACTTCTTCGATAGTTTAGAGAATCCTGTAAGAGAGGTCTTTTCCCCCCTCGGGTTTACAGGAAGACGGCACCATAACCACCATGAAACTTCCACGCACGGCCCGCCGGAACACCGCATCCCCACCTTGCGGAGCGCTGCCGCTGCCGCCGCCACCACCACGCCGCCACGCTGGGAGGAAGCCACGCCTTCACCGCCCGTGCAACTCCTCGCCAGCGGCCACCACACGCCCACGTCGCCTCCGGCCGGCAGCGGTCACCACTGACTGACAGGCCCTAGGAAAAGAATAAAAATGTAACGTTTTGTTTAATGAAGAGTAAAGGAAAAAATATTAGGGAAGAAGTTTACGGAAACTAATCAGACAACTTCTCCTAAAATTTACGGGAAGCCAAAAAAGTTGGTCTTAGGGGATTTTATTTAGGAAAACTGTTGGAGTTGCTCTTAGAAAAACACTTTCGTCTCGTAAAAGAACACTTTCTCTTTGTTCCTTCTCTTTTTGCAAATTGTATTCGTGTTCACAATTTTCACATTGCAATTGCAAACACACACACACTCCGTCCCTTTCTTGCTATCTTTTCCGGGAAACATGATGAACTGTACTCAATTTCAGATACTACACAGGCAAATAGTATGGAGAGTTTGTGCCAAATCCTGTAAACCTAGCCGCCTCACTATCAGAGACATTTTAAGTGCCAAATCTGTGGCCTATAATTATCGCGACATCAAACGTTTGCATGCAACATCGCTTGCAACATTCCCTTACTACCGTCCAATTCGACAAATGTGTCGCAACATTTTAAACGTGCCCACGCAATGAATATTTCTTCATGGGCCTCTTTGGTAGCTTGCACGCGGCTCATACATGTTCTAGGGGGGCAATATTTGGTTGTTTGCTTACCCGCACGCTTTGCATGGGCTTGCACGACAGGAAGCTCAAACCACCCCTCAGCTAGGCTCTGTGAACAATCAGGCTCCAGGGGAGTGTCTGAATCGGCCGTTTCCTCGGATGCGGACTCTTTGTAGTGCAATTTACACTGCGAGAGAGGATGCGGGCGAAGATTTTGCAGGTAACCAAAAATGATGTAGAACGTGACCCAAAGACTACGCTACTTTGAAACAAGGTTCACTGAGCCAGACTCCAGGTAAACGCGAAAAGTGTGCTAGCATTCAAACATGCCCCATATCTTACAAATCCGACTTGTTGCAGCAAAACGTTAAAAATGTGTTATAATGCCCGTTGCAAATTCTGTAAAAAAAACACCGATGACAAAAAACATCTGCAATATAAGAAAATCACCTTGAAGCATACATTCAAAATATTTGCAACATGTCACTCGTGGATACACAACAAACATCATACACTCTTGTAGCATGCTGGAACATGAAGCAATGGGGGAAATCTCGATTTGACTTACATCACATCACAAACAACCGAGGTAACATGGATAATTTTCATTTGGAACTCCAACACGAGCTCATCTACGATGGCAAAGCGCAACGAGCTCCCACCTAAGCGAAGGGGGGACAAGCCGCATGGAGATGTCGCAAGCCTGCGATGAGACCATCGCTGGTTCAGGATCAAGAAGAGACTCACGCTTCATGGAAGAAGAAAAGAAGAGTGAGTCGCGCGCGAGCGAATGGAACCACCAATCGTTCGGTGGGCTTATGGAAAGCTTTTCCAAGCAAGGGCTCATTCAATTTGCATGTTCTTTATAGGATTCTTACCCTCGTTTTTTTTTCCTATGCATGACATTTGTTTCATAGGATTGGAGGTACTAGATTTCTCAGAATTGTGTCCGTATTAGACTAGTTTCTAACGATTCTTGCCATTAGGTGAGGCCTCATGGAAATTTCCTAAGGACTGAAGTGGATAGGGCATCCTAATCCTTTACCTTTTCTATTTCTTTTATTTCGAAATCGTGTAAACGGAACCTAAGTATACAGCAGGATGCATGCGTGGTGCCCAATTTCCTGCTGATATCGACAGTAAGATGATGCCTAGGTGAACTATGAGTGGGCCATTTTATTTGTGCTGGAAATAAAATGTCGTATACATACATGTGAAACCCCAATAAATTGCTGGATCACCTACATATATAGCCATACAACCATACAGAGGAAGAGTACGCGCACGGGGCTCACTGCAACCGTAGTTCTTGTGGTTTTATATTCACAGCAAAGTTTCAGTTCCTGTATACCCCAATCTTCATGTTCTTGTTCGGGCTGAAAACACGTTATTCATGTCCAGCGAATCGAGACTGGACTCGCCGATTTGGCGCCTCTTCATGCCGCCACGATGGGGTAGGAGGCGCAGGTAGCAACAGCTGCATCATTTCCAGCAAGTCGAGTCAGTATCACGTCACGAGTTCGCTATGCCCTGAAGAGCAAAAGCAAGATGGAAGTGCACACGGAATGGTACTCACCACACATGTTCTTGCCCATTTCCATCTTGAAGTAACCATTTTCACCCCAGTCGGCGCCCCACGAGTTCTTGATGAGCCAATACGGGACGCCGTTCTCCACACCGTACCCGACCGCCAAGACGGCGTGGTTCACGTCCTAGCAATTTGAGCACAACTTGCATTTTCAGAACAAAGTAGTAGAAGAGTGTAGTGATACAAGAGATAGGAAGCACATTAACTGAAGACTGAAAATAAATAGCTCATAATAAAATCATCTTTGGATGGCCTATGGTTTAGTAGTACTCACATCAGGTGTAGTACCACAATGGTCGCTAGTGTAAACTCCGCTCTTGTACTGCCTGAAACCGTCGATCACCTCAAAGGCAACACTCACTGGGCGAACCAACCCGACGGCGTTTTTCAGTTCGTCCTCAGCATTCTTACCAGCAACAAAAAGATCAGCATGAATTAAAGCTTAGGTTACTTGATTATAAATTATTAACATCAACTGAAATTAGAGCGAGGTTCCTCTTCCTTACCAGTGTGATGTTAACTGAGTCCAAAACCTGAACTACGGCATTTTCAGCCTTGTAATGGCAGACGCCATTGACACCCTTGTAAGGGTAGGACTCCTCGGTGTCGATCCCTCCATTGTACTTGATGTACTCAAATGCCTGGGATGGAAGGCCTCCACTGCACCCGAAATTATTGAATCCACCGGCACAGTCAACCAGCTGTTGCTCAGAAAGAGAGATGTTCTTTCCAGTGGCCTGAGTATATGCTGCCTCAAGTGCACCAGTAGTGCTGCAAGAATAAGTATAGGAATTCAATTGGTTTGTTTGTTGAACAGCCCTTTTCTTCTTTCTTTTCCTTTTCAGGAAAGATTCTACTAAATGAGCTATCTTCTCAATTGATAATACATAAAACACTGCAAAGCTTGAAATATGCCAGGGAGCAATTTTTTTCACAATATAGAGCCTAAATAAGAATACTTCAGAATATTTAGTGTAATATCGATATCTGTCATTTTACTTGTAGCTAGGCTACTTCATTCAGGATTACTCAATAGATGCTAACAATAGTACTGTTGTATAGAAAATGAATAAAAAGTCACACGGTAAGTTTATTAAAATGCTTAAATCACACCCAATCCCACAAATTCAGATAACCTGTTAATCAACAAATTTAACTTCTTGTTACTTTTCAGTGAAAGTGAACTAATCAAATTAGTACTGCATTTTATCGTGATCACGAAGTGTTCATATGACTTGGGTAAGCAATCTTATTGAAGATTGTGTTCTATACTTGTCTGTATGCCAGTTGACCAAATTATTGATTCTTTTTGCGCGCGCGGTGGTGGTGTATAATTGGGCGCAGTTCACATCCTTTTGCTGCAATTAAAGTTCCTCCACTGGTGCATACGTTACTAGCTTCATTTGGCACTATAACTTGAGAGCATATGGAATTGCATTCTGGATTACCATATTTGAAAGATATATTACTTCTATTTAGATGTGGAATTAATGAACAGGAGGCAGGACAAGCCCCACAAGATAGCTACCGGTCACCAAACACCAAGTGAAAGAGATCTGAAATCAATAGTTTGGGAGTATATACACAATCATATCAGCTAGTCGGCTATTATTTATTTAGTAGTGTGTCACACGTGCAGTATTTTAATCCATTGTTGAACACTTCCAAATAATTGGTGATTGTGTCTGATGAAAAAGATCTCAAGTATACTCAACTACTGCACTTGAGAGCCAGCAATTTTTAACTTGGGCAACGGATCGATCTGTCGGTCCCCATCCTGGGCCATCAGATGGAGTAGTTTTTAATATTACTACTTTATTAGAAGGCGCATCCACGCATAGTATTACATTCAGGGCGATGATTGAATTAAAGTCTCTTTGGTCTGTGGCCCAGACAGTTAACTGGATCAGATCGACCATTTTACTTCCTGTCGGATATCATATAGTTTGAGTGTTAAGTTGAAAAACACCAGATTTGGGCACGCTTCAGTATTGGGCACATTGGTTATTGATGATAAAGATATATCACTGATATATACAACGGCACACGCGAAGAAAGTTAAAAAAAAAAAAAAACAGCACTGCAGAAATTCAGTAGTTACCTGAACGTCCAGCAGGAGCCGCAATGGGACTGGTCTTTTACGGGGCTAACGATCCCATCCTCCCTCCAGTCTTTCTGCAGCAATGAAAACATCAGTTACTCCACACATTAATGGAGTCGATTGGTACGTACACCAACTCTGCTTGCTGGATCAAGCGACACAATACTTGCAAATTAAGCGTCAACGGCTACAACAGGATATAGTCTATGCTATACAGTCTTAGCACAACCATACTACTACTTATAAATGGAAAGAATATTGTGCCGCAATCCTTAAAAACTGGCGATCAGCAAGAAGGTTCATTGGCTGATTTGTGTACATAAAAGTAGTAGTAAGCTTTTAACTACATCATGTGCTGGGACCGTGGAAGAAACAGCTAACACGGCCTTCCTTGTCGGGGGGACATCAAAGTCCCGAGGACAATAATTAGCACATGTTGGCCCTGCTGAGTAAATACAGCGACCAGCAAATTCTGCAGCAATTCAGGCAAAGCAGAAAGCTCGACAGCTAGCTGGTTTGAAACGCAAATTAGTCAAGGTGGATTTTTTTTCTCCTGATTTTCAAACAGAGTATGATATCTGAAACTTTCTAAACCACGGGGCCCTGCTCGTCTCAGCAACCGTTACTGACGATACAATACAGGGCACGCAGCTACGCTAGCAACAGTTCATACAGGGTATGCCTTGATGGGATTTCTCATTTCTGTGACGAGTAAGTAAACAGTAAACGTGAAACTTACGGTCTCCGGGAGCGCGGCGGCGTCCCGCATCAGGTGGTTGCCGGCGAGCGTCGCCGAGCAGGTCTGCGCCGCGCCGAGCCGGGTCGCCTGGAACTCCTCCCAGCTCATGTCCGAGAAGCCTGCGGGACAGCAAAAGCGACGAGCGTTTTGAGGACCCGGCGGGGCCGGAAGGGGACGGTGGGGATCAGAGGATGGTCGGGATCGTACGGTTGATGCCGAGGCGGTAGGAGAGGCCCTTCCGGTTGGTGGAGCGCACCTCCTCGAGGCTCTCGGAGAAGATCCGGAACCGCCTCCGCACCTCCGCCGCGCTCTCGTAGCTCTTGCCGTACCTGCGAAAACGGATCGAATGAACCCACCGGGATGTCAGCTGTCATGGGGTGGGGGAAGGCGGCGGCCGAGCAGCCGAGCAGACGGAGAGTCGACGGGCGGGGGATTGGGGGTGCGTGGCACGGACCTGACGGCGAAGCGCGCGAAGCGGAGAGCGTGGCGGGTGCGGCCGAGCGCGGCGAGGACGGTGGACTCGAGCGTCGAGGCGGCGCGCTCGGTGACGGGCCGGATCGGGTTGGAGTCGGTGAAGGAGGAGGAGGCGACGGCCACGGCGGCCGTGGCCAGGACGGCGAGCGCCAGGGGGAGGATGCGGCCGTGGGCCATTTCGCCGGCGGATGGGTGGCAGTAGTTTACTGGGTTGGGCAGGAGGGGCAGGCCAGTAGGGAGCTCGCGTCCCGGTGCCGGGGGTTTTATATCGGGAAGCGTACCGGGGCACGCTTGACCACTTGTTTGAGACTCTCGAAATGCTGTACGCTGAGGATATTTGTGATCTGCAGTAAGTATAATCTACTCCTACTCTAGTGAGGATTATTCTTTGTCTGAATCTTCAAGGCCAAATATCCAGCGCCGCGGTAACACATGTGCATGTTTATTTTAATAGGACCAATATATTATAAAAAATTCACGGTAATACAAAATACTTAACATAATAAAAATTGCATCGAGACCTAGACCAGTTTGCCACTGCTCTTCTACTGGAGCCGATCTAACTTTGTCAATGATAGTCAAGAACTATTCATACACATGTTCCTAGGAACCAATGTCTTGGAGCTGGAGCTACTGTCGACGTTTTTTTTTGAAAAAGAAAGAAGGCTCCGGGCCGTCTTTATATTTCAAAACAGGCCGTAGCCTGAGGAACAATGTACACTTACATGAAGCTTGTGGGGTGCACTTTAGTGCAAAACCACAAGAAGAACCGTCAGAGTTGATATAAGAGAGGGGTTGGGGCATGCATGAGAAAAACAACAAGAGGCAAACTATGTGACTATGTTGCTACAAGATTACCCCAAAACATGAGGTCCTCCTTATCTTGTTGCTTCCTGGTCCTGCAGCACCAAAGACGGATCAAATCTGCAGCATAGTATCTTACGTAAGAGTCTGTGGGCCCGTGTTTTAGAAGAAAAAAACTATGTTCGGCCCAAATCCTCCTCCAGAGCTCCTCCTCTTTCCTCTCCCGCGACCTCGTCGCCCCCGCGGGCGGTCGTTCGCGTCCAGCCTCCTCCCCCGCGCAACTCCCCCTTCCCCTTCCTCCCTGCCGCCGTCGCCGACGCCCGCTGCGGGCCTGGCCCGGGCGACGCTGGTGGCGGCGGCCCCCTGCCTTTCCCCTCTCGGGTGTCCACCGGCGCGGGAAGGGGCGACCCCGGGTGGTGCTTCTAGGCGGCGACGGTCCAGCGCGGCGGCGGGGGCTCCTGGCGCGAGCGGGGGCGGACTTCTGGTCGGCGGCGTCGTCGTTGGCGGCGGGGCGACGCGGCGGCGCGGTCTGGCGGCGCCCGCTCGGCCCAGATCTGGGCCCTTCGGGCCCCATCTGGGCCTGGGCGGGCTGGCGGCGGGGTGGGTCTGCTTCGTGGCTTCCGGGAGGCGGGGGAGCGGCGATGAGCGGCAGGGTGCTGGCGACGCCATCGCCGGCTTGCTGCAGCGTGGCGGCGGGGCTTAGCGGGCCCGTTTCGGGCCTGGCCGGGCCAGGGGTGGCCTGGCATGCCCTTCTGCCGCGTCCGGACGGCTACCGCGACGGTGTCGGAGGCTCTATCCTCCCGCACGACGGCGGTGGAGGTGGTTCCCTCCCGTTCGGCTTTGGTGCTGCTTCTCCCTCTGCAGGGCGCTTCTTTTCGGTCCTCTTGGCCTCGTGTGGGTGTTCGCAGTGAGGCGGCGTGGGTGGCGACGCAACCGCGATGCGCATAGTGGTGGCCGGCGGTTTGGCTGATCGGCTCCGGTCCGTTGGGCGGTGGGGATTGGAGTACGGGAGAAATCTTTGCCGGTCTTCGGCTCCGATGCGGTGACACCTACGGGTGCCACCATTCCTTCATGAAGGGTGTCGGTGATATCCATCCCCCACCTCCCTCCGCGTGCCGGGGAAACCCTAGGACATGTCCCGGTAGTAGCGTCGTCGGCGTCGCTTTCCTTCTTGGAGGTGTTGTTTTGTTCGCTGTGGTTCGGAGCCTTGGGTTGTAGTGGTTTGTCTTTGGTGGGCGTAGCGGTGGCGGGTCATCCGCGCTTGTCGAGCTGCCATTGTTGGCATTTGCTTCTTCTTCTTTTTATTTTTGGCTTGTTGTGTTGTTCGCCCCAGCAATCCTGTATCGGTGTTGGTTGCTTTGGAATACAAAGCGGGGGGAACCCTTTTTCGGTACGTAAGAGTCTGTCCATGAACGTGAGTTGAAAACACGATCGTTTCGTGCATGCCAGAGAGTGATGGCACATGCAGCAAAAGCCACGTTCCATTTGCACTTGAACTGTAGATGAGCAGCAGCTTGTTGGACGAAGGAAAGTATATCGGGCGACCTGCCAGCCAACGATGCCAGGCGCAGGTGATGCCATGGTGCAGATGCCGCCCTGCAGTGCTGCATTATATGATGAACCGATTCCACTGCTGGACATAGATCACAACCGGAGCTTGCAGCAACGGTCGTCCAATGCTTCTTGATCATGTTGTTTCTGGTGTTTAGCCGGCCCCAAAAAGCTAATCAGAGTAAAGTTTTGTGCTTCAAGGGGATCAATGCGTCCCAGACCAAACCATGGAGGGCACAAGAAACACCATAGAAGGTCAGTAGTCGGTAGAAGTAGCCCGTGCTGAGATGCTTATCAAAAACTGAGGGAGTACACACGTCCTCGCACGACCCATCAGGAGTTAGAGAAGCAATGAGATGCTGCAGCAGTAGGAGCTCGCGCTCAGCAGAGTGGGAAAGATTGGGGTGGAGTTGCACTGACCAAGTGCCATCCGAGAACTGTGAGCTAACTAAGCACCAGCGGTTCCTGGCAAAGGAGTATAGAACAGGTAGCAGCAAGAAGAGCCTGCCTGCGTCAACCCAATGATCGTGCCAGAAGGATATATATGAGCTTGCCCGAGCCCAAAATGCACTGTGAGGAGTTTATGACCATGGGGATATAATCCTTGAAACCACGTCACATGGCAGTATCTTTGCTGGAAGCCCCAAGAGGTATAGCTGACTAGGAATACTGCAGAGCAAACCACTGATAGCAAAGAATGTCAGAGTGCTGCAGGATCTTGGAAAGGAACTTGCATAGCATTTCCTGGTTATGGGCTTGCAGATTTCTCACACCCAGGCCTCCATTTTGTTGGTGGAGAATGACCTTGTCCCAAGCTACAAGGCACTGGCCCCCCTTAACTCTGTTCTTGCCATGCCAAAGAAAAGCACGCGACTCCTTAGGCCATGGAAAGGAGGACATAAAGTAGCTAGGTATGCCGGCGAGCACAAAGTTGACGAGCGTGAGCCTCCCTCCAAGAGATAAGAAAGTGGCCAACCAGCCTGAGAGCCTACGGTCAACTTTGTGGATAACTGGCATCAACATCCCATGTGTGATTTTATTCAGTGACATGGGCAGTCCAAGATACGTGCATGGGGTGGAGGAGATAGGGCAGCCAAGCAAATGAGCGATCTCAGAGGCCATGGTTGCATCCACAGAGACAGGCACTAACGTGATCTTGTGAAAATTGATTGTCAAACCTGAGAAGGCCGAAAGGATGTCCTTGATAATCATGGCTTGCTCGAGATCCCCCTTGAAGATGATCAATGTGTCGTCCGCGTACTGCAGCACCGGGAAGAAACGATCTGTGCCAAGCGGATGCTGCAGGGTCCCATTTTGATAGTACAGACAACACAGTCTTTGTAATACATCTGCCACCAGGATGAAGAGATAAGGTGACAGACTGTTGACGTTGTTGAACTCTTGATTCGATCTAAAGCGTTTGGCACAAGATCTCCCGCAACCGCTAGATCTACGTCTGAGCTTTGTCTTGACGGACAAAGTCAAAAAATATCGAAGCCCAGAAGACCAGCTCAAAGATGAAGCAACGCCATTCACCAGAGCATCACCCCTGTGAGGACTACAAAAAAATTCTAATCTAAACTACTAGCTGGAGCCGATGCACTAGGGTTTCTCTCCCTGCACTAACTGTCAAAGCGGCAGACAAAGGATAGCAAATCCCAGGTGGACCTGAAGGGGATGAGTTCTTCGCCCTAGCGGCCCCTCATGCCACGGAAAGGAAACGTCATTACTTGATTCTAACACATGTGCATATACGGTGGTCCAGAGTTAACAGGGTTTTCTTGCTACAGTAGAGAGAGGGGCTAAAAGGGGGCAACCACAGAGTTTCCCTAATCCAGCCGGTGAGGGCGCGGATCCCTGCGTCCTCCGCTTGCTCCTGCGGCGGAAGGAGGTGGGGATCCCGTTACGACGCTCCCGGTGTGTAGATAGGGTAGGAGTATGTCCCGGCGGCGTTGATTTGGTGAGGAGTTCGTCGCCGTCCTGGAATATTAAGTCCGACGTTCTTCCCTTCCCTTGCCGGCGCTGGTGGTGCTAGCATGTGGAGGCGTGTTTCATGCGCCGATCTATGGATCGGCCGATGGTTTGGCTCCCTTCTCCATCTGCCGTTGCGCCGGTGTGAGGGGAGATTTTGCTCCTCGCGAGTTTTTGCTCCTCAGGCGGGTCGGCGAGGTGGCGCGTCGACCTTGCCATGTGAATATCATCCCCTCCCTCTTCGTCGCTACACTGACGAGCTCCCCATCGGAGGCGCAAGGGTTGGGTGTTGCTATGTTCATGGGGTTGGATCTTTGGGTTATGTCGAAGTTCTTCGGCGATGGTGGCTCCCCTGGGGTGCTGGTCTTTTCAGGCTGAAGATTGGAGACTTCCCGGTCGCCATGGTCGTCTTTACAAGGATGTTGGCTCCGGTTATGGAGCGGCGACGGCAACGGCGCGCCTCCAACTTGCTCCGGCGAGATCCGTGGTTGATGTGTGGTCTCAGAACCTTGTTGTAATTTTTATTACTTCTACAGTGCTCTGTATTACTTTTGCACTTTCAGTATAACTAGAAGTCTTTATAAACTTTCAATATATATATTTTGCGGGTAACACATGTGCATGTTAGGTACTCCTAATCTTTATAACTTTCCTTGAACACCAAATTAACATGGAAAATCCCGAGAGTATGAAACATCAGCAAAGTGAATGGCTACGTCTGGAGGAGTGTACTGTCAAGGATTCTTGTGTTTTGTCGGGCGAATCTAATTCTGATGAGTAATATAAGTGATCTGGAAGCGAGATATGGCTGACTCATCCGAGTACTGGGGGCATTTTCCAACACGATGACG